CAACTTGGAAGAATCATAAGCCAAACTGAGTTTTCATACTAATTAACAAAATTCTATTGTTTCAATATTCAGAGGACATTTTCTCGGCCCTCAAAAGAGCTGTAACTTTGACACTTGCACACAATACACATCTAATCATGCTCTTTCCAACGTGATATAACTTGTCCCATAATTCCCTCTTTTCTCGGAGGAAAAAGCCCGTGAATATTGAAACAATAGGAATTGGTTAATGAGCTTCTGGAAACTTGGAAGATACACGAGCTAAACTAAGTTTTCAAACTCATTCACAAAATTCTATTGTTTCAATATTCAGAGGGGATTTTCTCGGCCTACAAAAGAGCTGTAACTTTGACACTTGTACACAATACACAGCTGATCACGCTCTTTCTAACGTGATAGAACTTGTCCCAGAATTACTCCGCTTCTCGGAGATATAAACCATGAATATTAAATCAATAAAAATTTGTTAATGAGCTTTTTGGAACCTAGAAGAACCATAAGTAAACTGAGTTTTTAAACTCATTAACAAAACTCTATTGAATAAATATTCAGAGGGGATTTTTTCAGCCCACAAGAGAACTGTACCTTTGACACTTGCGCACAATACACAAGAAATCGCGTTCTTTCTAACGTGATATAACTTGTTCCAGAATTCTTTCTTTGCCCAGAGTTACAAGCGCATGAATAATGAAAGAATAGAAATTTGGTAATGAGCTTTTAGGGAACATTGCCTAACATTAACCCTCACTCCAAACTTTTCATTTTTAACTCAATTTCGTTGATAGCTGTCCGCGAAATATTTATTTTGGTCGCGATATGAACGTAAGAAAATTGAAGGAGTAGAAACTTACCACAATGACAGAGTCACGCACAAAGGGAATGTATTCAGAGAAACAAGTGATAGGGGCGCATGGAAAGACAAAAGGAAAACAGTGTTCGTACAATATCTTTAATACCAAGTATTTTAGAAGAGAAAATTAGAAAATACTTTACTAACTACATGAAATATATCTACAAAACAGAAAATAGAAAAATAAATTATCTTATGTGTGTTGTGTGTTACTCTAACTTGGATGAGTCATTTTCTCTCTAACAGGGGACTGGAGAGAGTTCCCCTGACTAGTAGCACATGATGTAGTGCGAAAAACGACTCCTTGCCCTACCCCTGAGGAATACGCTTGGATATCCTTGGTAGGATTGAACAGTAAAACTCCTGAGTATGAACTAAATTTGAAATTTCCCTTTTCTCCACGATGGTCAATGGTGTGACCAGAAGAAGGTCACCCTCGTTTTCATGTTTTGTGTCACCCAACGGCCCAGCGTGACCAGCTAATCTTGTTCAAAGAGGAGCTCTATCTTCTAAATAAAAACAGTCTCATGAAACGGATTGCCTATTAAGTCCTTTGCCCGGTGTGACAGGCCTTCCTCCAGGACTTCGGGATCCGACGGGACTTGTCCCTCCTTTCTTAGCAACACCGGGAGACGAGCGGGATTTTGTCCCGCTAGTACCTCCGGAATTCCTCGGGGATCCTGAACCCCTCGGTGATCCCGATCCGGAGGATTTAGATCCCGTTTTTGTTTTAGTTCCTGATTTTGTAGTTCCTGTACCAGATGGAGAAGTTGATGAGCCCCGTCTTCCCTCAGCCTTTGATTCGTCCAACTTAATATCTTTACCGACCACTAAATTGTTTGTTTCGACAAAGTTTTTCATCCACTGTGGCATCTCACCATTCTTGGGCTTCTCCACAGGTCTCTTTTGCTTTGGCGATAATTTCGGGCTTGAAGAGAGCCTGGCACTATTTGCGGATGAGGACGAGAGCTGCTCTGTGGTTGTGGAGGGTGGTGTTGGGGTACCGGGACTGAAGAACTTAAAAAAAAGAAGAAAAGCAAAAACCAAAGAAAATGCATAAAAAATTACAAGAAAAAACCTCTCCTTTAAAATGTTCATCACAAATGAGCATTAATCTTTGTCTCCAGAAGTGATTAGCATATAACTTCTCCCCAGAGAATCCATACATAATTCAGCAAACAGGAAATGAGAATACTCAAAATTATCACGTACAAGTTGTTACATTGATCGAACCTCAAATTCTCTTGACTCATTTACGAGAAAATGTGTAGCAGCTGGAGAGGAGAATTAGCAATCAGATCTTGAGAATTGAAGGGTTATTAAGTTAAAAATCACAATGCTCTCTGCCTACACGTACCTCAACCGAAGGTATTTTTGCTGATGATGGCGACCGTTCACTGCTGCTTCCACTCTCGGTTCGTAATCTGTTCAAAGGACCAACAGAATTCTGACTAAACCGTGGACTACTGGACCTGCCTAAATAACGCCCAGAGTAAGGCCTGGGATCCAGAGCACTGTTTGGTCGACCTGAAAAAGAAAAGGCCAAATACAATCATGATATGCTTGAAAAATTGATCAAAATTTCGTTCCCCACTGAAAATTTACAGGTCGTATTCGCTCATATACAGGTTCCCAAACTGTGATACCTGTATGCAGATAAGGAAAGATGTCTTTATTTCTCCTCGACCAAGATCTGAAGAAGTCTTCCCTCTGTGCGCCATACATTTCACATGATTCAAACTCTTAAACTTTAGTGTTAAATCCAACAATATGGTGGACTCCTGTCAAATATAACTGTGTATGCATCAGCACATCAAGGCTCTGCACTAAATTAAGACACCTGAAATCCCTTACGTATAGCCCTCTAGTCAGACATTCTCTTGATTTCCATGTTTTGGACAAGAACATTTATGCTTAGCTCAACAATTCTTGCGTAAAATTTTTCCGGATGTTACGTCATTCAAGTTTTAGATAACCGTTCTCACCTTGATTAATTTCCACAAGCTCATGGTCTTCGCTAATAAAACACTCCCTGGTTGGAAAATGGAGGAAAAGAAATTGCACATTAAACTCAAACGACCTAATCTGTAAATATCAACAAAGATAACTGACAACAGATCACATTATTCAGAACATACCTTATAGAATCATCGTCACCGTTCAATCTTAGTGGACCCTAAAAGAAAATACCATCGTGGCATGAAAAATAATTCTCATCGTTAACAATTCCCAGACATATCTTCTAACCCCAAGGAGATAAATAAGTAATTTCTCCTTACAATATCAATACACTGTCAAGTAAGAAGATGATGAAGAGAAAGCAAAAAAACCATCCACTCGGGGATACGGCTTGATTAAATACTAAATTCTCAGATCAGGTTTCTGAGAAATATATGGCTGACGGTAAGGAGAATTAGTACTTAGATCTCGGGAGTGAAGGGCTGATGGAGTAGAGGAACATCAAGGGAGCAAGAGTATGTTTAAAGAATGAATAAATGAGCAAGGATGACGGAGAATCACATCGGATTGTAAATATCGGACTTTAACAAAATTTGGTTAGACTTTTTGTGGATCTACAAAATGTGACCTAGCTTCTTTAAAGTCAGTTTGAGAGTTTCTTTTTATATATGAGGGACATTCATTTTTTTTAGCGCATTTTGAGTGCTGTAAAACAAAAATCAAAGTGTGTTACTAAAAGCCGACAGAAATCAAAGTACTAACAAGCAAGCTGTCCGAAGCGCGGGAAAACGCGGGTGACCAAGTCGCACATGATTGGTTGAAAAGGTAGTGCGAATTTTCTGGACCAATCACAGAACGAGATGAAGCAAAAGCAGTGCAATTTTGCATTATTTTAGGCGTCCAGTCAAAAATTAGTTCTATTAAATAAGCTTGAATAAAATTAATTTGATCAACGTCAATCACCAGTCTCTTTGAGCGTAGTCCTGTTGGCGTTCTCAGCTCCGCTCTCATGATGCTGTTCAATTCGCGTAACTGGAAGACAGAACAAAGAAGAGTTAAAAAGTTTGTTAACTTTGCCGATCGCATGCAGTGCAGTGGCTTCGTCTAATTCCGGACGGTTCTGTCTGGCCAGCTAGGGCAGGCACTTTTCGTAATTATTAGTGCAACAATTACCATAAATACAGGGTTTAAATAAAGAGCTGTTGTTGTTGTTTTTGTTGTTGCTTTGTCCGATTTTGGGCTTACTTGGGGTTTCAACCTGCCAACGAACGATTATGGGACAAAGTGAGGAAAGCTTAGAAGTGGGCAGAACTTTGGCGAGCCTTTTGGGACTCTGTGGAGATCCAGTATTAAGAGCAAATACACTCAACACAGTACCTCCTCTGCGTTCATGACAGTCATGTCTCCTAGAATTTCCCTTCTCCAGTCACCAGTTTTTTTCAGTTTCACCTACAAGAGAACCAAAAATGGTCTTGGATCAGTAGCTCTGTAAGTAAAGGTATCAATCAAACCGTGTAAAGATCATTTTCTTGTGCTTCAAAAGACACAACGCTTCATACCCGGCCTCTCACAGCTGGCGGTGTACTGCTGCAAAAAAAACAAAACCACAGAATGGGTTGAAAAGATTTATTTCAGACCAAGAACCCTTGCGAAGTACTTCAAATGTGTACGTGCATTCTGATTAATCAGGTGTTTCGTTAAAAGCCAGTTACCATTGGTATACGACCGCCTATAAGCATGTCCCCATACATGACGTACCTACCCCTATAGGACCTCTTACCGCTGCCTATTTAGTGTGCAAGCTCTCGTGTTTGGGTTTTATCTTTCGGCCGTTTTTGCGGGCACAAGCGCCATCAGCATATTCAATAAGTTATTAAAATCCCTCGAGGAGCAATTCAAATGGAAAAAAAAATTTTGTTAAAAGGCTCTTCAAAGTGTGTTTTACTTACGGAACTTGGCTGCCTGATGTGGAGGATCTATCACGGAAGAAGGTGTTTTCTTTTCGACCCAAAGAAGACGAGCTTTTTTCCTTGACAAGATATTTTACCTGGAATTGTGGAAAACGCTTAGCTTTCTATTTCGTTAAACAAGACACACAAATTAGCTGCTAATCTCGATCATTTTTCAGCTTTATAAAGCTAACATCATCCAAATGATCGAAAAAGACTAAACCCAAGTTAAGAGTCCATCCCCGCCGGAGGTGATCCCGTTTTCCGCAGCATGCTTCTACTCCTTCTAAATGAGAAGCTGGTCACTCCGAGCTTATTCCTCTGCATTTGGTCAGTTTTCCTTAACAGCTCAGTTATTCTCCTGAGTGTGTGGACGCCCTTTGAGAGTCACGTGTCTTATCCAAGAATTCAACACAATGACCCGGCCAGAGCGCGAACGGGTTATTCTCTACCCGAAGTTCAATGCACCAATCACTACGCCACCACGCCTCTATGTCTCAAATATTTACGGTTATATAAAAGAACGTGCAATTATCCTGTGATTGTCGAAAGTAATCCAGGGTTATGGGTTACGTTGGTTTTGCTTTTCCTCGCTATGTAATTGGTCCAGGAAACTCGCACCGACCTCTCAACCAATCAGATGCAAAACAAAAATCAAGCACGACGACTTGGTCACCCGCGTTTTCCCGCGCTTTAAACAGTTTGGTTGTTTTCACTTTGAGTTCTCAATGGCTCCTTGTGATATTTCCTTTCTTCTGATTGGCTGTTGTGATAACTCTGGCTTTGGTTTTACGCCATTTAATCGAAAAGCGTTCTAATAATCATCAGCTAGTCGGAATTATGTTGTCCAAATGCCGCAAAGTCCGTCTCAGGCTAAAAGCCATTCAACAATACAAGCATTAAAAATTAGTAGTGTACCTTGTTGTTTGCATTTTCGTCCTCAGCGGCTATGGGGGAGGGGGAGGGGCTTTCTCCACTAGTCCCTGCAGTGGATTTCCTTGATCTGTGTTTTCCATACTCTGGAACAGCCTTTACTGTTCTTAAGATCACGTGAGAAGCTATGGATAATAGAAGACAAAAGCGTTATTGACCAAGCCCGCCCCAGGTTCTCAGTCAGCGGAGACGACCAAAGGAGCGAGTGAGCGGAAAACAGAGGCTGTCAGTGAAACTGTTCTCCGTGATTATTCGTTCGTCTGAACTTCTTGCATGAGGAATTTTGACCAAGATTGTCCATTAAAGATGGCTAAATATAGGGTATGAGTGTTACGAGGGACAAAGACTAACCTGAAGCCCATCAGAATGCAGGTAAATGAAAACAGACCCAGCTAGCAGCAAACACCAAAGATAAACACATCCAGACTTTCCATATGCATAGTTTACGACAAAGCTATTTTACTCGTTCAACACAAGCCGACAGGTAGTCATCAAGTCCAAGTTGTTCAAAGAGCGGATAGCGCTATCCGTTGGATAAATGTTAACCAAATGTCTTGCGCTATCCACCGGAGCGTTATTCACCCTTCGAACAACCGAGGCTAAAAGAACGAACTACAGCTTACCAGGAAACCATCCTACTTTACTCCTACATCGTCCTTGCCACCAATCATCTTTCTAAAATGAGAAAAGGAAAGACGAAATTGTAGTCATCATTTCTCCATGAACTGCCGCAAGTTCATTTAAACGCTTTGTTGTGGGAAAAGATTCGCCATCGACATCTTAGGACGGTTCACAGGGTACTCAAGTACAGTTATCCGGAATGCACAGGATCTCACGTAGTGAAACACTTCAAGGCCTTACCTTGACAAGCACAGTAACTTCATCTCCAACTTGTAAGTCCAAGTCAGTTTCTTTGTTTCCTCTGAACGCCGTCGCCACTCGTACCTTGTGTTCGGCATTGGCCATTTTCTGCTTCGCTCGTTTCTTCTCCTTCATTCGCATCTTAAGGACCCGCTCTCTCTGAAATACGAAGGTCACAGACTTCAGTCTATGTGTTTTGCGCACAACAATCTCCTACAATTCACTTGAGATGGTCACAGACAGAACTTCACTGACCTTGTACAGGTAACAAAGCGTTAAGTGGTCACAGCGATTCCAAGAGAAAAACTCG